CCTCCTCCTCCTCCTCCTCCTCCTCCTCCTCTTCTTCCTCCTCCTCTTCTTCCTCCTGTCTTTCTCTCTTTGTCTCTGTCTCTCTGTCTCTGTCTCTCTGTCTGTGTCTGTCTCTCTCTCTGTGTCTCTATTCCCTTCTCAACTCCCCTTCCCATTCCCTAAATACACTATTCTATACTATACAGTCCTATAGCTGGTACCTCCGGGGGAAGGAATGTCTCAGCATGGGCCCACGAGGCACCCCTCCCACCTCACCATACCATGTTCTACAAAACATATACTTGGCTTTTTGTAAAACACAATAACGATATTTGGATTCCCTACAATCTAGCAGATATATCATCCTAACACATTACAAATGTACTTTCTTTGAGCTCTGGCTAATCCTGTGACTATTTCCCATCTCAAAGCTTGGAAATGTGAAAAGTTAAATAAGTTTTCCAAAGGATTACAAGCAGACAGAGGCAGAACCTGACATAAGCATAAATACTTGAGCCCAGCTTTCAACCAGGATCATGCTATGGTGTAAGGAAGACTTTAGATATTTTTATTTTAATATTTAGTTAGTTTTGAGACAGGGTTTTATTATGTAGCCCTAGCTGGCCTAGACCTCTCTGTGTAAATCAGGCTGGCCTTTAACTCATAGAGATCTACCTGTCTCTGCCTCATGAGTGCTGGATTAAAAGTATATGCCACAAGGATGGCTAAATTGATCAATACTTAATTACAACAAAATTATGATAGTGCAGGTTTTCAACTGTTAGAAAAGCCCCAATGAAAGACTTCGTCACTGTTTTCTAGTCCTATACATCCCCCTCACCCCACCCTGGAATCTTATTGAAGGAAAATGCAACAGCTGTCTTGGAAACAAAATGCTATGCTATAAAATTTGTTTTCTGTTAGGAAGTATCCGGACACATCACAATGTAAACTACTTCCTTCTTCTTTTCTTAAATTATAGCCTCTCACTGAATTTTCCAGTATATGTGATAGATATGAGTCAGCTTTATCCACTATATCCAAAAACCCCTCATAACTATTTTGTGAGAGGGTAATTCTGCTCTAGCCCAGTTACCTTTTGCTAATGAGGGGGGCTGGCTGCTCTTACCTGAAAGTTGCCAAAGCAGCTCCCTCCAGGGAGAGTCACGTAGCTCACAAAGGGAGGCCCAGAGGAGGGCATTGACTCATAGACCACCAGCCCCTCACTGGAGAATGTGGCCCTCTGCTGCTGCTTGCTTTCCCAAAATTCCTGTAACATCGACACAACGTTCACTGCAAAAAGACAAGAAAGGGCATCAGCTATAAGAGAGTGAGTACACACCAAGTGTTTAAGGCTGGATTCTGCTATGTGTCAGTGGCCATTTTAAACAGAACATACTCAGCTTGGGGGCTGCTTTCAACTGTGAAGACACTTTAGTTAAGCATATGAAAAGGATGTTGAAATATATGACTTTAACACACATGTATATTTCCTTTTTAAATTACGTTTTTATTTATTATGTATATGAGAGAGAGAATGTAGGCTTATATATGGGAATGTACATGTGTTGGCACCTATAAGAAGGTCGGAGGACAGCTTTGGGCACAGCTCTCTCCATCTATTATGTGGTTCTTAGAAATCAAATTCAGGTTGTCAGGCTTGGTGGCTGAGCCATCTGACTGGCCTATGTGTACGTTTCTTAATGAGTAAGACTTAAGTGGTTTTAGTACCCCAATTCTAACAAGGTTGCAGTATATCAAATTTATTTTATAAATCATATTAATAGCAAAACTTAAACATCTGACCATTCATCTCTGAAAATCTACCTTGGTAGATTTTTCCAGACCTGTGATTATCTATAGTTCATATCAAATTTCTTAGGCTCAACCCTGAAACGAGAAGGAACACTGTGAAGTAAAATGTAAGCAATGTAATATTAATCTGAACTTACTATTTATATGACTTGAGAGGAGAAATTTAAAAAAGGAGAAAACTCTTTTATGTTCCCTCTACTCCAATCTAAAGGAAAATCAAAGGCAATTATCAAATAAGCAAGAGGCTGGAAAGGCCATGAGTAAACTAATAACTTGGAGTCTTTGTAAAGACAAGGTCTGTTAGACAACTTTGGAAAACACGGGAATGGGTAGGGCCATGTGTTTTAGATTAAATGACCTGTGATAGCCTGCAGAGGTTCCAGATCAAATTAGGCTGGTTTGTTTATCCTGTACTGCAAATTGAATTGGGGAAATTAACAAGGATAATGGAATTGTGGAGTCAAACGTGACCTTATGAGTCATGTAGGCTAAGCTTTGCCTGATGCAGGAATCCCTTGCCAGCTTTGCTTCCAGGACAGCTGTCAGTCTGGCCTGTACACAGAGCGTTTCTGTGGAAAGGTGAGCTGACGTCTACTTTCCTTTAAGGCTTTTGGAAGGGATCTACCTGCATTTCTAGTGATCTCAGGGCATATTTGAAGGCAACACTGGATGTTTGTAGGTTTTGCTCATGGGATAACTTGCTCACTTTTTTTGTGTTACTTGGACAAAGGGTTCCCTTGAAGTATCATATAGTCTTTATGGTTGGGACTGGGAATTTGGCCAAAGTTTATGCATTTAGAGGCAACAGTCCAAGACTTTTGTTGGAAATAATCTTTTTTTTTTTTTCATGTGTGTGTTGGAGGAATAGGAGGTAGGTGGTTTGAGAAGAAAGTGAACACAGAGACACGTGGCAGAGGAGGTGGAAAAGAAATTCCGAGTAGGCTGAACACCTGGGGCCACCTTTGTGCAACCTAGGCTCCTTGCTTTACAGTGAATTATCTAAAACAATCCATCTGCATGTCCTTTAAGACCTGTTGAACTGCTCTCTTAATTGCATTTGAAAGTGTAACAATGCATGGAATGTGGATTAGCTCAGTCACAGAGTGCTCGCATAGCAAGGTGAGTCCCTGGGTTTTTCTCCAGCACAACAATACAGTTTTGGATGTTTCAAAATGCTAACAGCAAAAGCACTGCACATCCACAGCTCTGGCTGTTTCTGAGACTACAAGGTTCTTACACCTTCTCCTTAGGTCAGGAAAGTTCAGAAGATTGCTAAGAAATTGGATACCTTTGTATCTTAAAAAACTAGTTTGGTATTTAAATGTCTTGGGAAATACTGAGAAATCGTAGGCTTAACAGAGGAAAAGTAAATTAATATATAGGGAAGGGATTAAGTTAAAAATTGGTGAATACAGAACTTTTAATTTATTTACAGATTTAAAATAGTGTTTTATACTAGTTGATAAAACTCAAAGTATAAATTAGATATTTTTATATGGTTAACTGTTTCTGGCCCATGTCTCTTTTTCTTTCCAGTTCTGAGAAGATAGGTTTATGATCCAGTTTATGTCTCTATACGCAATTGATCCTCTAAATTCATCAAAAAAATGTTCTGAAGTATGAAGCATAAAATGGAAACCAGTGGTTGTTTGGTCTATTAGTCAACAAAGACTAGTACTTCCTGTTCTAAGTTCATCTCTGAATGAGATTGTTCTTCTGATTAGAGTAGAAAACTGAAGGCTCATGATTACCTAGGTAAGATACACACAAGAATTTTGGCCCACATAAATAAATGATTTGAGGTAAAGAGTTTGAAAGGATAAATTAAGATTTCTGTATGAATAAAAAAAAAGCCTCAGCTTTTGACTTTTCATTATGTAACTACAAAAGATTCCTTTGATGGCACTACAGATGTCATCACCCTTAAAAGTACAACATATGTGCATGCACACAGATCATGCATATTTCTATCTGTATCTCCTCTTGTGACTGGAAACTAAGATATATGGAGTGCGGGAGAAAGAAGGCAAGCTTTGCTGTCTGCAGCTCTAAAGGTCAGTTATATCTGAGGGTGTTCTATTTATAAAACACGTGCTCCCTTTTTTGTTTATGGAGCATCAGTGAGGTTTATAGACTATTTCAAAGAAGCTGTGAAGATGGTGATTCATTGCATAGTTTACTCTCTAGTTACCTCAGCCCCAAATCTTGTCATAAATTTGAGCTATCAAGTGTGGGATATTCCTCATCTCTAATAATTCATGCTCTTTCTCCTGGATATTGTTTCCTTGATTTATTTTTAAATGCTTACTCTCTGTTTGTTGCTTCTCAGCACCCATAAATGTGTTTGAGACAATGAATGAATAATAAGATAATTAATCAATTAAATGTATCATTTTCCTTAGAACTACTTGTGATTACTGGTTATTGAAATCTTCATGTTATAATCAAGCTGCTAGTAAGAATATTCTGTCTTAACTGTCTCTGCTTCCTCAATGTTCTTTACATGCCATAGCCTGGCTTCCTTTTGCACTATTCCAGTGAAATTCTTTGACAAGTATCACCAAGTTATGATTTTTCAGTCTTCATTTATTTGATTTGTTATCTGATAGTACATATTTCTATCTGTATCTCTTCTTGTAGCTGATGGTGTATAGTACACAGAGTGTGAACTATACATGTTGTATGTTCAGAGCTAAGATTATAGTGAAGTCATGGGATACAACATAAATAAGCAGTGTCCTAAGCACCCTGGATATGGTATGCATTTGATTTTGAATTAACTTTTGGTCATTGTATATTCAGAAACACTTGGCTGTTGGAAATGGTTTTTGTCACCTCTACATGCAATTGACTACACATGGGGTCACCACAACAATTTGAGAAGCTGCTTCCTATGACACATTGTTTGGAGCTATGCACTATTTCTCTTAAAGTTTAGTAAGGTTTCCTTTCCAGTCTCCACTTTCTCTCAATGGATACTAAAGCAAAATGGTTTTAAACAACCAAGACAAGAGGTGTGATAGTAACCCTTGGCTGGATACCTGGAGAAAGGACACAGGGACAGTTTGGCTGATGCTGTAGTCAGAACAAGAAGATAAGAACATTTGCTTAGTCAAGGTAACTGATGCTAAGTGATATAGCCACCATGGAGAAGTATGATGTCCAATGACTGAGGCGGCATTGTAAGAGGAAGTAGATCGAAGAACTATCATGTGATCCTAGAAACTATGTGAAACCCAGTTCTCTTTCATAACTTCTACCATCTTAGAGTATCTGAGAATAAAGAAAGCAATTTACTTCTAATTACCATTGTCTCTCAAACTGCTTAATCTACCCCCTTGCCTTGAATTGCTTCCTTGGATGCAGTGATAAGTCTCTTCAGCAGTTTGAATGTCTTATGTATCAATAAGACAATTTGCTACACAGTTTATAGATATTACCATGGCTAATATTATCTCTTTAAAAAGTAGTCTAATTGGACTGCCCAAAAGCTCTTCCCCATGGCAGATTTTCTTTTCTTTTTTTTTTTTTTTTTAAAGATTTACTTGTTTTATTTATATGAGTACACTGTTGTTCTCTTCAGACACACCAGAAGAGGCCATTGGATCCCATTACAGATGGTTGTGAGCCACCATGTGGTTGACTGGGAATTGAACTCAGGACCTCTGGAAGAGCAGTCAGTGCTCTTAACCGCTGAGCCATCTCTCCAGCCCCAGCATGGCAGATTTTCATTTTCTCCTTCTGCAGGTTTCCATTTTTATAATAAAGTCCAGTGTTGAGGCTTTCACAACTAATCAAAAACAAAGTTAAAGACCACCACCACCACAACAACAACCATGAAACACCTTGGCTATTTAACCTTTAACCCTCGCCATCAGAAATCTTCCACTGGCTTCAGCAAGAACATTCTCTTTTTGTCTTAGGACTTATGAGACCTATTTTTTAGCCAGGGCTTAATTCAAGTTCTCCCTCCTACCTTGAATGCTTCTGGCCCACTACACTTCAGAAGAAACACCACATCTTCCATCATGCCTTATTCACTGAGTGTAGCCCATTTGCCTCTCCTTTCCTGAGCTCTCATTCCATTAGTGGTCCTGTGTCTTAGCACTTAATCTCCTATAAACCATGGTCACAAAATGGATATGGTGCTCCTGGCTAAATTTATCAAGTCAGACTTGGCTAGACTTTCTTCTGGCTAGAAGAATGGAATGTCTTGTGGTAACAGTTCATCTAATAAACTATAGTTTTCTGTGATTTAATTCACAGCAGATTATGGGATCCAGGAAGGAATGAACTCTGGTTCATTCTACTCTGCTCTGATTGGGTATCTACCAAGAAGACAGAGCTATCTTCTTAGAAATCATCATCACATTCATTTGGAATCTAAATAACACTTTGCATAGTCTGAACATTTGTGCAACTGACTGAAAGTATAGAAAGTAAGTGAATTTCCCTGATTCTGGGAGAGTTCAGGAATA